GTGCTGCTGAAGAGGATGGTTTTTGTCCCTTTCCTATTCTCCCTCACTCCTCTGCTCTCTCCTTGATTTATTTCTGAGTTAACGAGTGATCATTCACCTGGGAAGAACCTCTGGGCCATTTTCTTTTCTCTGCTATGCCCCTTCCCCCATACTAGCCTTACTACCTTTTACTTGTCGTGCCGTTATTTAACATATGAAGATGGTTTGGTCCTTTTATTTCAGAAGATGGCTACGATTCATGTTCCTTGATGTTATATTAAAACTCTAATGTGACGTTTTACTACTGTAGATTGAAAGTAGGGTGCTTTAGGGTGGGATAGCCACGGGGCAAGAAATGCAAGACCCTTACGGGTTACTTTAAAAAGGTTTTAAATGAAAACAACTACAAAAATCACTGTAGCACTATGTAAAACTCCAAATGATAATTCAACTGACTATTAAACGGAGCTGTTAGTAATCCGTGGCTCTGGCAAATGGGGGTGCTTGTTTATAGCTGTAGTCCTGTTGATGCAATCTGTTGGTGGTGGATGGAAACTCACAGCCTTTGAACTTGGTGCCTCTTCCCACAAGTTTAGCTGTCTGCTCTGGGTAGCCAAGTACCAAAACACAGCTGGAACGACATCCCACACCTGCTACCTGCTCCATGGCCATGGGATGGCACAGATGCCTGCGGGCATTTGGGTTTTGGGAAGGATGGCATGCCTTCAGCTCGGGGCTCTCAGTCCTTGTTTTGGAAACCTCCATGAATGCTGGGAATTTGGGAGCAGAGTCTCAAATTAACCTGTTTTTATTCAGCTATAATGTGAATTGATGGCACTATCTGGCGGCCAACCACCCCTGGGAACTTTGGGCTCCATTTGGCAGACTTTTGACAGAGGTCCAGCAGTGTAAAGAACACCGACTGCCTACAAGTGATTTGAAAATCAGTGCCTGAGCAGATACAGCAGGTAATAAGGATGCCTTGGTAGTCTTGTGTAGTGTGATTTTTGTTCTCACTGCTCATGACCATACAGCATGCCCGTAGTTGGCCCCTTCACCAAGATTAGAGTATTTTCCCACCAGCTCTGTTATAAGTATCATGGAACAACTTAATTTTTTTCTCTCTTCCCACTGCTAAATTTCAGGAAAATATGTTAAAAATACACCCAATGCTTTCCTCCTGCTATTTTCCACACAGCTAAGTGCTGTGGCAGCCACTGCACTATAACTTGTGGAAGAGGAGGAGAAGGAGGTTGGTGATGAGGTGGAGGAAGAGCAGAGGGGCCACGTGTTTCCAGGGTGTATGGTTGCAAGTGTGAGCAGTCCAATGTGCCCGTGTCATCACACCTTCAAAGAACCATCCCATCTAGCAATTGGCAAGGGGGATCATTGTCCATGGCAGGGGGGTTGGAACTAGGTGATCTTTAATATCCCCTCCAACCTCAGCCATTCTACAGTTCTACAAACTATTCAACCATAGAATCATGAAATGGCTTGGTTTGGAAATGCTGTCTCCTCAAGGGTTTGAAACCAAGGGGCTAAATTCACTCCAAAAATGGCAAAGTGAACTGGAAGGGATGCACCACCAGCTGAAGCTAAACAGCGGCTTTAGGCCCTGGAGAAGGGGTAGGCAGAGCCCAACCTTGCTCCTGATAGCGTTCCCCAGATCCCGAGCAGCAAACAGATGTGTTATGAGGGTTGCTGTTGGCCATCCTGGAAAAGGAGTTGCTAGAAGGGGTTTCTTAATTAGAGAGTGGGCATGAATGACATTGCAGCACAGGAGCCCTCATACGGGGTATCACGTCCCCATGCTCCCAGGATCTGTTTCACTTCTTAATGCCGTGCGGACTTCTTGAACAGTGCACTTGCTGTCAAAGCTTTCCCAAATCCAGTCTGCACAGTTGGAAGCACCACTATCCTTATTGAACTGTGTAACCTTTGTCTTGGGAATGCAGAGGCCTCTTGCTCTGAAGTTTGGTACTTGGTGATGAGGGGATGAGATGAGAAACCAGCTCTTCACTTGGCTACTGTCCTGGATATTATTCTGAGTGCAAAACCTATACCTGGAATCCTGGTTGATTGGTTGCTACCTCCACGCTGGAGGCTGCAGAGCCTTGTAATGCCCTGTTCTCTGTAGGAGTTCCAGTCCTTCCTGATCTTTCCACTCACTCAGCCATGACTCACCTTCTCCACCGTCTGCAAGGCAGACATGGCAGAGGAAAGACAAACAGCTCCCAGCACAGATTTAGGCTGATCAAATCCTGCCACGTGAAGTTGGGGTTCTTAGGGCAGGTGAGTGAAGGAGCCAGGATGCAGAGAGGGGGACACTGGCCACCAACTGGTGTCCTCTGCCTTGGGGACATGGGGTGTTCGTGGGCTTTGGAGTCTTCCATGGGACAGGGATCATCTGGTACTGTGGCATCAGTTCATTTTGGTCCCTGTGTCCTTATACCTGGGTGCCACAGTGAGGTTGCCCACTTAATGCAGGGCTTTTTTGTGCACATACACAAGGACCAGCTGGTAGAAAGGAAAGAATGAGAGGGAGGGAGGGAGGGAGAGAGGGAGGGAGGGAGGGAGAGAGGGAGGGAGGGAGGGAGGGGACGGAGGGAGGGAAGGAAGAGAAAGGGGAATGGGGGGAGGGAGGAGGGAACGGAAGGGAAGGGAGGGAGGAAGGAAGGAAGGGAGGAAGAAAGGGAAGGATGAAAGAAAGGAAGGGAAGGGAAGAACAAGAGAAGAGAAGCAGAAGAGGTAATTAGAGTGCTTCCCCAAATGTTTACATGCCCAACTGTCTTCCCCTCCCAGCCCAGCCCAACTTCAGTTGAAGCAAGGAAGCAGGAGAGGTGAAGGATGAGAAGATTATTTATTTTTCATAGATTTTTATAAAAAATAATTATCAAATACAAAAAAATAAAAATAGCAGCAGCCTCCATTGTGAATAAAACCCTAAAGGGGACACAAACCACTCAGTGTTGCTATAGAAGAACAATATTTTGGTACGTAGAAGCTATCCATTCATGAGAAGCACAAATCTCCCCCAGCCAAGCCAGCACCTTGCCCACCAGTCTTTATGCCCATGGTGATCAGGGATGGGTCATGCCCAAGACAACAATTTTAATTAAAAAAAAAAAAAAAAAAAAAAAAAAGTCAAATGTTGGCATCTAAACACATAGGTGCCCAAGTAGAGCTGATATTGAGCAGGGGGCAAGATACCAGGGCATGAAATTCTCCTATCTATCTCCGTGGGTCACCTGCACTCCATGTATGTGTGGATTCCATGGTCCCATGGCCAGCAGTTCCCCAAGGTGTCCCTCAGCCCTGCTATGGCTGTGATGGGTAGGCTGGGACACCAAGGCAGGAGAAGGCTGGCTGTGGGGTGAAAGATAAGGAAAAGGCTCAGAGGAGGTCACAGCATCTCCTGCCTGGGACTGCTGGGATATCCATGTGCCTCTGCCCCCTGCTCCTTTCCTTCAGCCAAATGTAATTCCTGACAACGTAGGCTGCAGGAAGGATGCTAGCAAAAAGCCAAAGGATGCCTTGACAATCCCCAGTCTCTCCACACCGTGTCACCCTCTCTCCATCGCTTGGTGCCAGACAAACCCTGGTTCGGAGCCTGGCTCCACTGGCTCAGCTTGTGCTCTGGGGATGTAGTGGAGCAGATGTGGGGCTCCCAGCCACAGAATGGGGTTGCAGAGCTCCTGGACACAGATGGGTTTCTATGCTCTTGCTCCATGGTCCATTCTCTGCTCTTTCCAACACTTTTGTCTTTGTAGCATAAAACCAGCAGTGACAGTTCCAGCTGAGCCAGTACCTTCCCTACCCTCTGTATCTATGGGGCTGTGTCCAGACTCCAAGCCTGTGGAATCAGCCCTGGGAGCCAAAGTTTTTTGCTGGGCTCTTTCGAGGCTAGGAGCAAATTTCACTTGGTCTCTACAGAAGGAAATGACCCAAGAAAGGCTGTACTGGGCATGCAGTGCAAAGGGCCACAGAGATGGCAGTAAGCAAAAGCTCAGTGGGAGATGGTACTCAAAGAATCCTGATGAGTCACTGGGGTTCTCCCCTCCCTTTGCTACAGGGCCTGTTCTCCTCCAAGATCTGCTGACTGCACTGTTGAAGCTCGTGTTTGGAGATAGGGGAAAGAAAAGGAGGACCCCTTCAGCCTCCTTCATTGCAGAGCATCACAGTTATTCTGGCTTGCCCATCACATCCTTCGTCTATCTGGGTCTCAACAGCCAAGGCAAGTCTAGGGCACAACATCCCTTTTCAACCTCAAAATCCTACTCCAGGACCAGAGCAAAGCAAAGCTCCAGTGAATCCCAAGGGCAACACCTGCCATCAGCAGATACTGAGAGTACCTGGAGGTCCTGGCCTCCACGCCATCCACCAGGAACTCCCTCCTAGTTGGCTGGGATGTTTGGCTTCTCTCTCTGCCGTCCTTCCAGCTCTTGCTCCGCAAACGAGGGGAAATTCCCTGCTCTTCCTGCCCTGACCTGCACTTTTCCCAATGGTTTGTACTTCACAGCAGCGTGGGTGTGTGACAAAGGGTATCCTTTCTCAGCTTCATCAAGAGCAAAGAAAATATAATATATAATACTTTATATATATTATATATATATATATGTATATATATATATAATTAAGTTTAAATATTTGCAGAGATCACAACTACCTCGACCTTGCTAAAAGAAGCCTGTACAGCAGAGGGAGGGGAGTGAATAGTGACAAAATCCAGAGCAAAAACGCTGCACCAGGACACATGTCTGCAGCCGCATCCAGGCTCCTGGTGCCGGACCCCGCGTGGAGCCCCTTGGGCTGGACCCGAAGTCCCCGGCAGGAGCCTATGGGGATGGGGATGGGACCACCTGGCCTCCTTTTCCACAGCCACCAGCTACTCGGCGGCCTCCACTGCCATCCTCCTGTCTGGCTCATCCTTGTGCCTCCTGCCCCGGCACCCTGCTGCCTCCTTTGGTGTCCCTTCACTCCTCCGGCACTCGCCTGACTGATAGAGGCCCTCCATGCCCCCTCTACTGGTTCTCCTCAGCCGCCGGGTCGCGGCAAGTACACTCGTCCTGGTCACAGTCAGCAGCGAATGGGATCACCTGCAATGAGGCAAAGGAGATGTTAGCCCAGATCGAGCCTCCACTCTGAGATCCCTTGCCCACCTACATAGTATTTCTCCATCTTGCTATGGGCAGGCTTTGGGCTGAAGGTGGTGTAGAGGAGACCACCAGGCTTCACCATCACTGAGAAACAGCTCCGCTGTGGGGTGTCCCAAGCTGTGCCCCATGGCTGGGCTTTGTTCTTAGTGTCTTCCTCTTCAGCAATTTGCATTTCAAATTTTGCCATCACAGGTGAGCTTTGGTCTTGTGCCCCAAATATTAGGGGGAAATGCCTGATGGGCATTAGCCATTTGGACTAGGGGAGACATGTCTAGATTTCAGTTTTACTTTGACCCACGTTGTCTATGTCTGAGCCCATGGTCCTGTCCTTCCAGCTGTTCCTGGTTCTCCAGGCTCAGCCATAGTATGGCCTTGTCCTTTCCACCTCTTGGAGGAACTCAGCACCTCCTACCCACAGCAACCTCCATATTGCCTGGTGTAGGAACCAAGTTATATGCTTACAGTTCTTGTATGCAACAGATAAAGAAAACTCAGGCAGGCTGGATGCAGCGTGGTCAGGAATGGTCTTCGGCAGGAGAGGCAGTGGGTCCATCTATGGTCATCCACATGCATGAGAGAAGGTTGACTACATCAACTGTATCCAGCCAAGCAAGCTTATGTCACCTCAGCCAATGACAGCAGAGCAGGGTGGAAGGGCACCAGCAGAATATCTGGCTCCTGGTCAACAGATGCCCAGCAGTGGGCCATGGGAGTTAAGGTAACCAGTTCCTATGGAGACTTTATGCAAACCAGGCTCAGAGCCTGGAGTTTTTCTAACTGTGGGAGCATATCTGATTTTTGGCAGCCAGTGAGAGGCTGGAGAATTTGGTGTGTTCCATCCTTAACAGAGAAACACAAGAGGCTCGTGCTGCTGGAGAGCTGCCTGTGGGGCACACAAACTGGGCTGTGTCTCCTTGGGACTGCCTGCCCTTTATTTTGGCCAGAGATCCAGATGCCTCAACTCCAAGAGCCATGCCCTGCTCTGAGATGTGCTATCAGTGTGGAGGTTTCACTCATCACCTGGCTGTAAAGCCTCTTCTCTCCTATCTCAACTGGATCTTCCCAGGATTTCATTTTTACCTTACTCTGTGTGTGCGTGTGATGAAAGGAAAAATGATTCAAGCTCCACAACATAGATGAGAAGATCCAAATTCACATATTTTTGCACTGAGAAATTCTCTCGTGCCCTATGGTTTGTTTTGCTGCTGGATATGTTTAGGAAGGATGGGCTGTGAGTGCTGGGTAGCAGGTTAGGTGGGAGGGGTGTTTGTGGGACACAGAAGAGGGTCTGCACAACTCTAATGCCAAGTTTCTCCCTATATGCTATCTCTCTTTTTTTTTTTTTCCCCTCCCAAGGAGAACTGGGAAAGGCAACTCATAGCAGATGCCAATGGACCATGCCAAAATGCCAAATTCCCTTGAGATCACTCAATTTTACAACAAGGTGACTTCTGACTCACCATGACTAGTGCTACATCCTATGGAAGGCATGTATTTGGGACTTATTTCCCAAATTGAGAGGGAATCCTGTGAGCCTCAGCAGGAGCTGGGTTGAGCTCTCTGTCCCTCTGGCATGGGTCCAAACCTCACTGCAATCAGTGGAATGATGTCTATCAGCTTCAGCTGGTTTTGGTTTAAAATCATGGGTTTGTTGATGGGAGAATTCTGTTGCAGGCCTGGTTCCACAGCCAGCAAAGCACGGCTGATGGTGACCACTTAATCCCAAATGCCCATACTGTGGAGAATGCTGACTTACCTTCCTGGAGGACAGCGTGGAGGAGCAGCAGTCACCCCCATCATACTGGCAGTATGCCCGGTTGTTGATGGTGTCACACCAGCCATCTGCTAGGAAGGGCTAGAGAAACAAGTTGTTGCTGAAAGGGTTATTCAAAGGAGCAAAGTTCCCCCCAGGAGCAGAAATCCCATGTCCTCAGCAAGCCCTCTGTACACTGCTCTCATGCAATGGCACTGCAATGCAGCTGTGCATGTTCACAGCCTGAGAAGGGCTCTGTAAGAGGCTGACCCAGCTCTTCTCTCCATTGCCACTCTTCCCACCAGAAACCCTTCTTCTAATGGGCTTGGCTCTGAAGTTGAGCTTGATGACTTGACTTGGGCAGCTAAGAGCAGAGAGGCAGTTAAGATCAATAGAGCATCCTGCAAGAGGATCAATTTTAGGAAAACAGACACTTTATTTCCCTTGGACTAGGGAGTCCAAGGTCAGGAGTGCCCCAAAAGTTCCTGTGCCCAAGCCAAGAATCGACAAGCAATGGTGGCAAGGACTAAGCCTTTACCAGAAGGCTCTTAGTCTAACTCTGACATCAGAGGACATGTCCCTACAGTACTCTAGAGGCAGCTCTAGCCCTCTCTACAGCACACAGCTCCACCAAACTTTGCCAGGCTGTACTACAAGCCTATTTATCCAGTGGTCAGATGGGAAAAAGAGATCTCGAAGCACTTACTCCCTGTGGTCAAAATCGAACTCTGGCTTGAGTAGAGAAGGCATTAACCCTACTGATAATGAGAAATATTGGCAACGTGGCCACCTTCTAGCTTCAGACTTGGCCATCTTCATTTTCATCTCTCTGCTTCATGGCTCCATATGGTTGAGTAGTGGGGGACTTTCACTGAGTGGCACAGCCCAGTGCCCTTTGCTGCCCTGCTGTGAGTCACCATGGGGTCTCCCTGGTCTGCAGGAGATGTGCAGGGCCTGTCTTTGTGCAGCTCAAACTAGTGCCCCAACATTAACAAGCCTTCCATACTTTCATCTGTACTGTGGAAGCAGAAAGCTATTCCAGCAAAATAGCTTTCTGACCAGAAACATAAAACGGCACGAACAGCCATTCAGAAATCCACTTAATTTTTTTTTGTCTGGCTACATGAGTCATCTGATTAGAGAAGAGAAACAAGTAACTGGGGCTGAGCAGCAGCCAGCTGGGCCTGAGAAACAACGCCGCACAACTGGTGCAACCCAGCAGCGTGCATGGGGAGTGCTTGCAAAGAGCTGTCAGAAGCCATAGCCGAAGTTTATTTAGCACAGATCCACATCAGCACCGCCAAGCAACAATGGGATGTGCTAACAGAATGGAGAGGCCATTCATTATCTGGGTGATTAGCAATGAAATATTTCTCCTGCTCTGCACTGGCAGCTACTGGCTGAACAACTGTGGCCATCCTCCTGCTGCCATCAGAAGAGGCTCCTGGTAGAAACCTGGCCATCTCTTTGCTCAGGAAAGCAGCCAGACCCATTTCAGTGGGTCTAGTGGTCCCAAATGATAAATCAGAGGACTTCAGGGTACAGTTTCACGAATACAAAAGGGTAAACACTTCCAACAAAGATCCCCAATAGCTCTTAAAGAATGGCGAGTAGAAGTCTCTGGTGAGCTGGGGCTGGCAGGTGCAGGATGCAGGCAGGGGACTGGCCGCTGGTGGGGACACGCTCTTGGCATGATTTTCTTTCATGGTGGAGTTTTTCCTTGAGCTTCACTCCATGTTTCATGACTCACTGGCAAAACAACACCCGCTGCTTCTGTAGTTTCCATCTAATTACCGCAGAGGATTGCTGGTCCCAGCTGCACAGGTCTGAAACGATTTCCAGATCATGCTTTGTGTGCAAGGTGGGGGAGGACAAAGGCAGGGACAGGATGGACAAGGAGACGCTCTCACTTTCTCTCTATAACTATTAGGGCTAATTGCCCCCTTTCCTCTATCCTCCAGAGTGCATACCCCACCCCAAACAAATATAGGCTCCTATGGCAACACATGTTGGGGAAACTTAACAGCTCATGCTCCAAATTACATTGGAAAAACATATGAGGGGAAAATAAGAAATGACTAATTGGACTGGAGACTCCTGAGAGCCAGGAGTATGGGTTGGGGACACTGGCCCCATTCCTCGCAGCACCAGAACAGGTTCAGCCTCACTGCTTACAGGACAGTGGCAGATCAAGGAGAGCAACCAGAGTTGGTCTGATGAGGAGCTGCTGCAGCTCTCATTGGATCTCCGATGGAAATGCCATGAATCCTGCTGCTTTGCCAAAGAGCCTCCAGATAGCTCTCATTTTTACAAGCAAAGAGAGCGAACTGTAGTGCTCCCCTTGGCTTCCCTTGGTCCATGCTCGCGTTAGTCTCATCACGGTCTTGCAAGAGTCTAGAGAAGGACACAGACAGTGCAACCAAGTATGAGCAGGTGATTTGAGAGAGAAAGCCACCTATGGATGGTACCAGCCCACATTTATGCTGTGTGGCTCTGCAGAAAAATACACCAGCATGGGGCAAAGAGAGGCTGGACTGTGCCATGGTCTCCAGAAAGACTTGGAAGTGTGTTAGAACATGATGGGGAGCTGTAGGGCCAGGCTGCATGCCACCAAGAGCTGGGCTTTGTCATCCATCTTGAGACTTGGCAGAAACATCGCCAGGGCATGTGTTAGCACGTGGAGAATGGCACCTGGCACCACAGAGCCAGGCAATGCGCTGCCCTAATAAAAATAGTAACTGTGCACCAAGTATTTTGCTCACAGCATTTTCTTTCACCCTTGTAGTGTCCTCAGAGTAGGAGCTGAGGCTGCTGGCTCTGTCCCTGCAGATGAACCAGACCAGACAATATGGGAGCATGGGGCCACCTCCTTTGTTCTTGTCCCAAAGTCATCAGCTAGGTGGATGGGGTCCAGATGCTTTTCTTCAATCTTATATGTAGGTTGATTCACTGTGAAAGAGCTTGGAAGGGTGTGACAGGAACAGCGGTGAGCAAGGCAGCCAGAGAGGCTGGGTTTGGGGAAGGCAGCAAAGCAGAACGGATAAACCACAGATGCCATCAGTATTGCACATATTTTGGTGCTGCGTCATGGGCACTTGGTGAACAGCATTTCTCAGAAATGCAGGCCTTGCTCTGGTTGAGCAGACCTGAAGGCCCAGTACCTATCTACTGGCAATGACCCATTCCAGATGCTTCAGAGAAAGGTGGAAAAAAGAAAAAAAATGCAATGTGCACCTGGCCAATTACGTACTGAACAGCTCTTCTGTGCTGCTGTGGAAAATGCTTGCGATTTCCATCTGCCTACAGCTAGAGAAAGCCCAGATCCTAGTTTCAGAATTCAGCCTCCGTAAGCAAAATATTTCCTCCCAGCCTCTAGGATGCTGTGCAGGTTCTGTGCTTTGCAGCCACACTGATTCCATGTAAGGAGGGCATGAAGACTGCTCTTGTGCTTTTACCAAGCCATCAGACCTCTTGCTGTCTTTGTATCCTTTCCTTTGGGAAACAGTATTTTGATGGACTTCAGGCCCTCTGCATTCTGGGATGGCCATGTTTTACCCTGCAGGTGCCTTTGTTCTTCTCAGCTGTAGCTCTCACAGCAGCCCCAGAAGAGCAGGGAAGCAGCATTCTGGCATGGGCAACAGGCAGAGACCAGCCCTGGAGATGTCATTGCCAAACTCCATGGGGAGACTGGAGATCAAAGGGAGATGGTGCAGTAAAGGAAGCAGGGTCATGGCTGGGTGATAACCTCTGCAGGGACATGCCTCTACTTGCTGTGCACTTGGTTTTCCAGGAGCATCAACATGTGCTCAGCACCAGACACAAGAAAGCAGTGACTCTCACCTCGCACAGGTGAAAACCAGTTGGTGGTTGATGAGTGTCAGCCCAAAGCCAGGCTGATGGCCACAGGACATTGAGCTGTTCTGGAGTTGGAGGCAGGGGTCACCTCCATGCCTTTCCTTCTTTGCTGCCCCATTGCAGCCCCAGGAAAGCTCTGCTATTCCAGGAAGTCTCAAGGAGGACACAAAGAGTGCCCAAAGCCCTGTTAAAAGCCAGGTTTACTCAACCCTCCACGCATCCACCACCCCATGGTCTTCACTTGTGTCCCTGGAAAACCCCTCATGCAAAAGTTCTTGTCCCATCCCTTCAGCACCAGTCCAAAGCACTGTTTCGCTATAGAGACAGCAGGCTGCTCTCCATCTCTCCAGCCACAGCCACTGTTAGAGGGATGCTACAGCACACTGTCCCCAGGATGCATCCCCTTCCTTGCTGCTGCTGGTGGGGCAAGGAGCCCGGCAATTCTTGGCTCTCCAGCTTGCCCAGGGAAGTTGACGGGGAATGCAGACTGTGGGAGGAAATGACAATGTTCATTGTTTGGATTGAATATTTTTCTTGGCCCTCTCTCTATTGCAGCGTGCCTTTTATTTCATTATTTTTTCTCCCCCCTCCCCGACACCCCGAGCATGCTGACTCTCCCTCTCTCCTTCCTGAGGCTCTCTGGCATGCAAGGAGGAAATCAGGTCTGAAAAACACAGAGAGGGACAGAGAGGGAACAGGGCTGGCATCTGGTCAAGAAGATTTTTGGGATGCCTCGCTGCCCTGAACCACTCTGAACAGCAAGTGAGTGCTGCCCAGCTGCTGTGCCCAGGAGAAGAGACTTTGAGGGAAAAGAGCTAAAGAAATTTGGCCGGAAGCACCTGAGACCAAGTGTCTGGGAGAAGACGAAAGAGGAATAAATTCCTGCAGCCCTAGTGTTTTGTCCACTATTTCTGTGTCACCTGGTTTCTGTCTTCCAAGCCATTTTTGTGCACCTTTTAGAATCACAGAATCATTAAGGTTGGAGAAGACTTCTAAATCCCCAAGTGAACCCCAGTCCATCCCACCATGCCCACTGCCCACATCCCTCAATGCCACATCTTCATGGTTCTTAAGTACCTGCAGGGATGGTGACTCCACCACCTCCCTGAGCAGCCTATTTCACTGCATCACCACTCCTTCTGAGAAGAAATTTTTGCTAATTGTTGCCCTAGGAACCACATGCCCCAAGGATGGCTTGGAAGTGAAATGAAGAAGCGTCAGTTGTTTCCGAGCTTGCTGGTCTTCCC